GGGGGGGGGGGGTGGGGGTGTATGGGGGGGCCCCCCCCCCCCTTCCCTTTGAAAAACCAAAACAGGAAATTTATTTTTCCCCCCCCCCCCCCCCCCCACACACACACATTGATTCACTGTGGAAATCCCACTCAAGGGGAGCGGAGCCCTTATATTTCTTATCTCGTCAAGACCACCAGAAATGTACACAGCATAAGCCCGGACAACAGGGACGCGATACACCTTTGGGACAATAGGGATTAATATAAATATATATATATATATATTAGACAATAGGGCCGCGGATACACCCTCTGGGACAATAGGGATTTAATATAATATATATATATATATATTATAAATAAATATTATTAGAGAGAAAAGAGAGAGGGAGAGATTTTATACATGTGTGTGCGTGTGTGTTTATGAGTGTGTGTGTGTGTGTGTGTGTGTGTGTTTGTGAGTGTGTTTGTGCGTGTGTGCGCGCGCGCGTGTGTGTGTGTGTGTGTGTGTGTGTGTGTGTGTGTGTGTGTGTGTGTGTGTGTGTGTGTGCGTGCGTGCGTGTGTGGATGATATAATTATAAAACGTCGAGTGACATTAAACATGAACTGCACAAGCTTCGAGTAGGCCTATCTTTTTGTTTGTTTGTATATACTACAGGCGCAATACTCTTCTTTCACTTCATGCCTTCTGTACAACCCAGTGTAAGCCTTCCCAGCAGAACTACTGCTTTTAGTTTTAGAAAGTCAGTGCTTTACGGCACTTGCAACACAATAAGGTCACATAAGGGCCAAAGGTTAGATGTGTTCACAGAATTCTACACTAAGTGAAGAATTCTGTGGAGCTGTTGCAAGAGAGTAACAAACACAAAAACATGAGGAGGAGGAGAGATAAGGACGATAGATGTTTGATAGGAAAGGATGAGACGAGATAAGGACGATAGATGTTTGATAGGAAAGGAGGAGGAGGAGAGATAAGGACGATAGATGTTTGGTAGGAACGGATGAGGAGAGATAAGGAGGATAGATGTTTGATAAGAAAGGAGGAGGAGAGATAAGGACGATAGATGTTTGATAGGAAAGGAGGAGAAGAGATAAGGGCGATAGATGTTTGATAGGAAAGGAGGAGGAGAGATAAGGACGATAGATGTTTGATAGGAAAGGAGGAGGGGAGATAAGGACGACAGATGTTTGATAGGAAAGGAGGAGGAGAGATAAGGACGATAGATGTTTGATGGGAAAGGAGGAGGAGAGATAAGGACGATAGATGTTTGATAGGAAAGAAGAAGCAGACCTTAGGCGGTCATAAAACCGCCTTGAGCAGTCCACACCAAAGCACCCGCCAACCACCTCTAGGTGCTACTATTAATGCTATAGCTGTAAATGTTTCACGCTTCCCTAAGCACGGAAAAGATAATGTACCCTCTCTGTATATTTAAACTGGGTTTTTTCGGCTTTGTTGGTCAGGGCCTATACCAGGTACATTGTAACATATTAATATAGTGTGTCACAACGCGGTGGAATCAGCCTCTCGTCATCTTTTTTTTTCTTCCTGACATGTAGCGTTAGAACTATTATTATTATATTAAAGCTTAGATTATATTCGTAGATTGTCTACCCGATGAATAAAATACACATGTACATGTATATTGAATAGAAGCCGATTGCAATTAAAGGAGGTCGGGGTCGCCTGCCACCTGAGGGGATAAAATTACCGAGAAAATGGCTGCCAAAGTTTGGTGTCTTCTATCGCTTGAAAGTCTTTGAAAACTGAATTTTTTTAATTTGTGAGTGTGTGTGTAGTAGCAGTAGCAGTAGCAGTAGCAGTAGCAGTAGCAGTAGTAGCAGTAGCAGTAGTAGGAGGAGTAGGAGGAGTAGGAGGAGTAGGAGGAGTAGGAGTAGTAGGAGTAGTAGGAGTAGTAGGAGTAGGAGTAGGAGTAGGAGTAGGAGTAGTAGGAGTAGGAGTAGGAGTAGTAGTAGTAGTAGTAGTAGTAGTAGTAGTAGTAGTAGTAGTAGTAGTAGTAGTAGTAGTAGTAGTAGTAGCAGTAGTAGTAGTAGCAGCAGTAGTAGTAGTAGTAGTAGTAGCAGTAGTAGTAGTAGTAGCAGCAGTAGTAGTAGG